TTTCGAGGTTATTTCCTCTCATCAGATAGAGATAGCGGTCTACTTTGAGATTGCGCGTCGCAATCCATCCACACAACGTGTACTTCCAATTCACTTTCCAATCTGTTATTTGCCGTTGTGCCAAGCTTTGCCCGTCGTGACCCGGTGGCTTAGGGGTGGCGGTCACAACTAACATCTCAGTGGTCCCGGGTTCGATGCCTGCTATCTCTATCTGATGAGAGGAAATAACCTCGAAACGCGTCATGGAGTGCAGTGGTTTCAGGCGGGCAACACCCAATTTGCTGCTGCTTCATCAGCTACGGTCCTAGTGATCGAATGGCCAAGGTTCACTTCAATGGGAATCGCGGTCTACTTTGAGATTGCGCGTCGCAATCCATCCACACAACGTGTACTTCCAATTCACTTTCCAATCCGAGTAATAGGGGAATTGGATGGAGTAGGTAGAAATTTATCACATCTAGCCTCAGTTAGACAGACAGCACACACCCGAAAAAGCACTATACGGCCGTTCGTGCTCTCTGGAATCGTCAGCAGTGCGCATTACGTTTGACCCTTGTAGGACTAAAACCCGCAATTCGATAGTTGCCAGTCTGTGGTTGACGCCACTGAGCTATGGGGGATGGCAACGACCGTAGTGCCTAAGTTACTAGATATGACATCGCGCCACTCGCTGTTCGATGAGCTGGATATAAGAATGATTTCAATGTAGCACCTAGACATCGTAAGCAAAACAAGGGGCTCACGTAAACTTTACCTATGTCACAGGGCAATATCACCTAGGGGGTCGGTAGCAAGAGCGTCACTGGCACCGAGCCCGAGTCATGGCCTGTAAAGCCTCGAGTCAAGTGCAAGCGCGTCGTGTGTAGATAATCTTTGAAGAGGAGACGAAATAACAACGTCAAACTAGTGGCCGTTTGCGACCGCCGGACACCGAGTACCTACCTCGAAGTTTAAACGTCTTGGTTCAGGTAAACAGAAGAACACCCTTCTCGGTAAGCGGAGAGCGGACATATGTAGCACGTACCTAGACAAACACAACGTATTCAGTCATAACTGCTGATCTAAGGAACTAACCTAACTACTGTCACCCATAACTCACCAGCGTAGTTGGTCGTTGTGGGCACACTAGTGCCAAGTGACCACGACAATGTCTTGCAGAGAGCGATCGTCAGAGATCTGAATGCAAGTGAGAGTTTCAAACTGGGTCCTCTAGTCATCAGCGAGTAGAAGCGAACGACCATCACCATGTTCATGTATACGGGACCTTTGAGACTTCTTTGTAATATCGCAGATTTCTGAAAGCAATTCGAGCCTTTTCAATAGGCCAGCTAATCTCAGAAGTCATACACCCGCCGCTACCAATGCAGCCACCAATTTAGATGAGTTGTTTAGCCTGCCCAATTTCCTTATCTTCAGGTCTTAGAAGACCAGAAAGTAACTAGTGGTTTTGAAACAACACTGCGCCATGAACGAGAAAAGCATAGTATACGATAAGACCACTCCAGAGTGTTTCTCCGGGGTAGACTGTGACGCCCCATGATTGTCAAAAAGCAAGACGATAACACATTACATTAATTCACACCAAACACTGATACCAGATATCAAGGCAATACCAGTAGCATAATACTCCACAAATGAACTCCCATAACGAAATCAACGATAAAAGCAAATAAAAAGTGGACACAAGGCAACCCAGTGAACGTCGTCTGTTGTCGTGATGGTGTCCGACAATTCATCGCGTGCGTAAACACAACCTGTGGTGGGGAACGCAAAGGGTTTACACATTCATAGGACTCAGTTGGGGCCAAGTATGTCGAACAGGGAGCAGCGATCGTTCGAATGAAACGCACAAGTGAGAATCAGAGCTGTAGTCGAGCTGTGCTACGTGTTACGCTGCCACAGTGCCCGCCGCAGAATAAAAATATGATCTATGGGGCCCGTCAAGGTCGGAAGTCCGGCTGTTTTTTATCCATCTGTGAGACAATCAGGGACATCGTCGGAGCCGTACTTCACAATAAGAGACGCCACAAAGACCGTTGAGCGGTGCTTTTTAGGGGGCTGGTTGATTGGTACTCTCTGTCTGAGCCCTGTCGTATTTAGGTGGTGCCGGTTAAGGCTCCGTCTGGAGCCGGGTAGCGAACTGTATTCAAAGTCTTCAAATTAGTTTGTTCCACTGGTACAGTTTTCTTGTGTCAACTATGTTAACCAGTCCATCCTAACGGATTCGGAAGAATGGGAGTGTCCCAGATGATTAGGGCGAGTCTACTCTCGTGAAGACAGTTAAGCAGGGTACTCGCAGAATTGCGCTAACCACATGGTGTAGGTTTAGCAACAGCTAGATTATTAGCCTCCATCCTCATTAGCCACCTCAATGTGGAAATGAAATCCAGATTGAGAAAACAGAATGCAGGTTATACGGAGGAGGGTCAATGCCGAACATTTAGCTGTATCAGACACGCTCCCGAAGATTGAAACAACCAAGGTGAAACTCAGTTAGCGATAATCCAAAT